TCCATCTTAAAGTGGAGAAGGCTGAGAAACACTGCCCTAGTCTGCAGTAGTAATTTGGGAAAAGTGAGACAAAAAAGACCTAGAAGGAGAAAAGAACCCGAAAGAACACTTACTGCATTCATAGATCTGCTCCAGTTTATCCACAGAAGAAAGGGAGAAGAATTTGTAGCCCGACTTGTTGCCAACAGCTAAAGATCTGCAAAGTAAAGACTAGGTCAAACAAGGATGAGGGATGGACCTAGCTCCCGATTCTACAGGAGTGTGACCCAACAGCCCATGTTCATTTTGACAAAGCATGCTTAACACCAATACTTGTCCTGAGGCACCCCATGCCCTCCATTTGTGAAATCCAGTTAGCAACCTTTTGCTTGTGGCATACCCCCAAAAAACACCTACCGACCAACAAACACAGCATGTTGCAAACAGTGACAGTCCAAAACAGAACTAATGTACTTGTACTGGGTTGATCGCTGTGCAATTTGTTTGCCTCAAGAAGATAATATTTTGTCTACGCTCTGCGATCCTGGCTCCAAGCAAAATTCTTCTATTTGAGAAGGCCAGGGAAGGAGAGACAGGGAATATTTTCTCCCAGTTTATTGCTAAGGCTGGTTATCCTCAAGAGAGAGATGGCTATTGATTATAAAAACTCATTTGTATCTCAGCATGAACACGAATCACATGACAATTCATTTTCTTTTAGGCAGAAAACTTGGGCAGGAAACTAAAATGGTTCGCTATAATGTGCCCCAAAGGGGAAGTCAGTATTTTTAATCTAGTTGTTTCAAGATTATTTATAGAGTTTATACTGTCCATTATTTATAAGTCACTATCAATTGTAACAGACACTAAAGCAAGCAAAACTCACAATATGTTCTTTTGTTAATGATTTAAAAAAAAGAAGGAAAAAAGGGTCATTTTTGAAGAGCAAGGTAGACTAAAGATAATCCTGTCATCCAGGAATAAGAAATATTCAGCAGAATGGTATTATTTTATTGTCCTCTAAGGGGAAAAATGCAATTCAAGCATAATCAAGGCTCCCTTTTTTGGTACCCTGGAGGCCAAACACAAAACACAGCCAAGAGTTTTTAATCAGACTTTTTTTTAAAAAAATAACAAGATCAAACAGATCTCATAATGTAAGCAGTCGAAGAAGGGAGTGGCAAGTTAACCAACAGGCGCTGTCTCCACATTTGGAATTTGCTACCACGAAATGCGATGCTGGCTACCACCCTCACTGGCTTCAAAGAAGGGTTGGGCTAGTTGATGGAAGTCATGGGGATCAATGGCTATTAGCCTTGATGGCGGGGTGACTGCCTCTGAAAGCCGTCTGCTGGGAGATTCGCAGGCTTCCTTGTGCAGTGTGAGAACAGACGGCTGGACTAGATCGGCCAGGGGTCTGATCCAGCAGGGCAGCACTTAGGCTCTTTGGTTCTTGTGTTCTCTTTAGAAGGAGTAGGAATCATGGTGCTCAAGCTACATCTTGCCCTCTTTTCTTGACACCTACCCTCTTATTTAGAAGCTGAGACACCACCTAGATTCCATCACCAAAAAAGGACCTAGAACTATAAAGAAGATAAGAAGGGGACAACCCTCCCCATCCTACTCCCATTTTGAAAGCCACGGTGTAGAAATGACCCCTTCCTGTTTCTCAATGAAAGACACGTACAGACATACAAAGTTAGTCACCCTCTATTACTCTTCCAAATGGCACCAGAGATCAATTACCAGTCACTGAGAGTTATGATCATAAATAATTAAGCCTACGCTTGTCAGAAGGAGAAAACAGATTGTGGTTGCAAAATGCTGGCTTTGACCGTCCTTTCCAACTGGAAGGTTCACTCACTCTACCAGGGTGCTCCTTCTCAGTCCCCCACCAAGTAATCTCTTGCTGAAACAGCTCTCAAATTTTTCAAGCCAAGCTCTGCAAATACTGTTTTAAAAATGCTTGAGACATAGCTATCAGAATATAGTTTGTCCTGGGGTGGTGATCTAGATTTGAAATTTATGCTCACAGAGCTTAAGCGGAGAATAAGTAGCAGTCCCACACTGAAGTCCTTCACTCTGAGCACAAAAACAACCTAAAGAAAAATCTTTGCAACTGCACAACTCTATTCACATGGGATGTAAGGAAATACACGTGCCCTGTCATGACCAACATGCTGATATGCACAAGTGGTGGATAGGGGAAGGAAGTCAGGCCATGGGTGCTATTGCTTGAGGCAGTTACTATAATACATGATCAAATCCTCAGAGACAGTGTTGCTCAGCCTTGGCAACTTTAAGATGGGTGGACTTCAACTCCCAGAATTCCCCAGCCAGCTGGAATGCCAAGCAGGTGCAAAGTCAGATTTGCCCATACTTTTTTCAAAACTCAATATAATAATGTAGTCTCTAGCAGTAATCCACACTGAAATTTCACATGATTTCTGAAATTAGCCACTGGTGAGAAATAATGTTTCATCAGCTTCTAGATCTCTTATTTGCACTTGCTTAATTATTTGGGATCACTCAGCTTGTGGGAAGCTCCAGGACTGAGCAGGTTGTATATGCTAATAACATGAACACTGGAGTGAAGAACCCCTGAAGAAATATTAACAATTTCCACAGCATCAAAGAGGAGGATGCTGGTGCAGTTCATTTGGTTTTCTATCAAGACAGCAAAGATGGAAAGGCAACCTCTCTCCTCAAGGAGCCCTAGATCTTATTTCACTTTTGGGTATGACTAGACTGAAGCCAGGCAACCCTCAGTGCTCCAGGATCAAGAAGACTTAATGATGCTTTAGGTTTAACACAGGTACATGCAAACATTAGACAGCCTCTCCTGTGGAACTAGTATTAGGCTCATCAGAATCTTCAACCATTTAATCCATTTAGTTCTCATCACCCATTATTGAGCTTTCGAAGTCCTCTCCTAAAAATGTAACCCCAGCCAAGCTCTGATGGTGGATGAGCTAGAGGGCCTTCTGTTCCTTCGCTCCAGTTGCCAGCAGCCTCCGAAAGGCAAACAAGGTTTTTGCCCACCAAACAGTGGAGTACCTGCTGTAGAAGACACTAATATTTATCCAATCACTTGCCCTGCTAGTTCGCCCGCTTCGTTTCTGATGTTACAGTGAAGGGGAGGAAGGGAGGGAAGGCTGGAAGGTTAACTGTTAGGCACAGATGGACTATTATCTGGCTCTCAGGAAAGCCCAAGGTCGTACCAACGTGAGAACTGGAGAGGATCTTTGACATGCGCAAGAGAGATTCAAAGACAGTAGGGGGGATGAAGTGGGGGTGAGGCAAAACTAAGTTTTGGCACGCGCAGGACTCAGTTCCAGCTATGCTTCTAGAGCTGTTCACTACTTTCCAATAAATGAACTTTCCTTTGAAACTATTATCTGGCTCTCAGGAAAGCCCAAGGTCGTACCAACGTGAGAACTGGAGAGGATCTTTGACATGCGCAAGAGGGATTCAAAGACAGTAGGGGGGATGAAGTGGGGGTGAGGCAAAACTAAGTTTTGGCACGCGCAGGACTCAGTTCCAGCTATGCTTCTAGAGCTGTTCACTACTTTCCAATAAATGAACTTTCCTTTGAACCTGCACTGGTTTCAATGAGAGTTGCTTTCATTGGGGACTGAGTACCGCGGTTCTTACAACTGTTCGAACAACAGCAAACAACCAAGTCATATCAAAGTCCTTCTATAAAGGCTGGATCATTGGAAGAGTGCCTTGGAGTAGTTCTTTCACCTTGTGATGGACTAACCCATTGCACAAGGTGACAGTCTGCCACATCCCCGGAAGCATCATTGATCATTTCAACAAGCCTGTGAAGCACAACGTAAAGAAAAGCTATGCTGAGTGTGGCTGGATCAGATACAGACTTCATTCACACACCACTTCAAAGCAAAATACGGTTGGTTAGGCTCAGGCTTCATGCGCTGCAGGAACCCCACCCACAATCATTTGTAAATGTGGCTTACGGCTTGAGAATTCTGCATGAACTTGTGGCATATCCAACAATATGGTTAAAACAAACAACCACTTAGATTGGTGTACAACTAGTGCAAATTCCTGCTTCCTACTGAGGCTAAATACTACTCTTTTCTCCCATTTTTGGCCCCAGCAATCTAATCCATACTTGGCCCGTTTAACTCTACTAGACGTCAATGGGTCTCTGCATTTTGAGTGTTTCTGACCTCTCAGAATGTCACCAATGACCACAAGATCCATAAATATATGATGCACTGCAGCAAGAATGCTTTCTTTCCCACCCTGTGGCAAACTGATCTCTTTAGATACCTCTATAGTCTCTTCACTGTACTGTAAATAAAATTAAAGAGAGAAAGAAAGGAAATAAGGCTGGGCTAATGCACAATATAAAAAGGAAAAGAAAAAAAAAACAAAAACCCAATTTCTAATCTGGATTTCCCTTTTTGTCTTCCGGATAACTGATGTGCCACAGGCTATTAACAAATACAGGTTTGGACAGGTGGATTTAATAATTTGTGTGGGCCTGTTTGTAAATAAGTATTTTTCCACACAGACGTGCATTCTGTAAAAGCACATCATGTTTCTTGGAAAGTTTAATAGATTTATTGTGGCATACATTTTTATGGGTCACAGCTATTTATCAAATGACTATGGGGTTCAGTTGGTAAATACTGCTAGAAAAATCAAAAATACATTTGCAAACAGAGGTGCTGTGACATTTTTACCTTATTCCAAATGCATGCAAGAAAAGTACAGGAAACCACAAGCTTTCTAGCAAAAGAACAATTTTATCTACACACAGACAGAGCGCACTGCTTTAGCCAATCTTTGTTAAGTAGCAGAAACATCAGTAATTATCCAAAAAAAACAACTTCTTTTCTCTCCCTCAACCTTTTGATGACTTCAGAACTTCTGGAGGACAAAATCTGTAGCAAATCACGTTGCAATGCACCGTATCCCAATGATGAAGAGCAGGGATTTAATTATTTCAAAAAAAAAATTCAAAAGTCCCATTTTAAATGACAGTAGCTAATAATCAAGCCTATAGAAACAACTAACAACGATAACCACCTTACTATTAGTATTTCTATAGGCCTATCAAATGCTATTATGGAAACAACTGATAAGCGCTGACAAATATTGCATATGCCAAGTCATGAAAGAAGATGTTTAAGACACACAGCTCTTGCCGTTTTTCTACTTCTAACCAGTACGATCATTCTGAGCAATTAATTTTGTGATGAAGTCCAGATGCTCTAGTCTCTAGACATAGCCACCCACAGAGAAAGAGAAATGGACACTACTACCATTTGTTAATCCAAACACCATGTGAAACTATGCCACACTTAGATTCCCCTAATCTTGCTTTGATTCAGTGTTCAATGGTAGCCTCCAGTTCACCAAAACACTCAGTTCATAACAAATTTTGGTGGCTCCAAAATGACATCAGGATGACATTTGCAACCTCCCAAAACTGAAGTCAAGAGAGAATGTATCAATGTCTTCTCCAAGCCCACTCTCAAGTTAGGAAAAAGCCGAATCTGAATCTCATCTTTCCTTGGTCAAGATATCCAACGACAGGGTTTGTGTTAAGAAGTTCCATATTCCAATTCTAACCTACCTATTACACTATTCTTTTCCAAATGATGCCCTCCACAGACTTAGACTACGACCCCCATCTTTAGTTAACATAATTAACCAGCTGGAGATTATGGAAGCTGCAGTCAAACCTCAGGAGAAAACAGGTTAGGGAAGGCCACGCTACACAACACAGCCCCCAAATTTCCTCCCAGGGATATGTGTTCAGATCCACCAGTAATAGCATCTCATTCACAATTAAACCCACCAGCTCAATTATGCAAACTGATAACTACATGTTGAGGAGGGAGAAAGAGAGTTGTTGGGCTTGGCATTAGTTGCTGAGGATCAAGGAAGTGAATGGTGTATTCTTCTTTGCACATCAATTCTAAAAGCAGTTCAACTGCAAAGTTTAATCATTTCCTGTTATTCACTCCCTACGGGTCATCCTTTCTTAACTAGCAATGGCTGATTTATCACACTCCTGATCCTCTTTCACATGCTAGTGTTTCAAAGCTCCTAAGTTGTGCCTGTGTAACCTCTTTCCCTTTTACGTGAGAATTAATCCTACTTTGCATTCAAGAGACAAGGCCTCTGCAGCATTTCAGTTTTGGGTTCTCTTGCCACCTCACAAACTCACACATACACGCAAGTAACCACCATTGCAGCTAACAGAACAAGCCACATATTTAGCAGTAAAGAAAGAAAAAGGGTAGACAGGAACAGCCAAAGCAGTTTAGGGTGGTTCTCCCAAGTGAACTACATATAAAACATCTGAGGTGGCTTTCTTAGACAGCCCTGTGCTGTTTAGAGTGAGCAAAATCAGTTTTGCTCAGATTCAAGCAAAACATGCAGAAACATGAGCCATTAGAACTCCTTTCTCTCACCATTATGTTGTGAGAGAACTGTGTTAAAGCAGACAGGGATACAGGGGAAAAAACTGGCTTTCCTCCCCTTCATTTTAATATTCCTAACTTTGGGGCGGGTTTTGCTAAAATTACAACATCTGTTTCAGGAGAGGGAAAAGTCTCCTTAGAGGAAAGAATCAGCAGTATTAACTAGTGAAGTTAGTAATTGTTTCTCCATTTCTTTCTTCATTACCTGAGCCTTTTTAGCTGGACTTAAGAAACTGCAAGGCACTTTACTGTTGCATCACTGCAAAGACAAAAAGATCTAAATGCACTCTTGTGCCTTTGCAACCCAATTACGACCAAGCGATCTGTCAGGATGATGTTTCCCTAAAGGTTTTTTTTTCTGCTAACGGGAGCCCCCCTGAACAAGCAGTTCCACTGCAGCCCAAGCTGAGTCTTGCCTTGGAGAATGAAAGCGGTGCCCTGGTTCACTATGGCTTCCCCAAAACTGGTATTTAAGCTACAATGCCATTAATTCTGGGAGTAATATGCAGCCGTGAAGATTAGCAACTGAGTGCTCAATTCTCTTTGAATTTGTCTGCTCTCCTTTTAAAGCTACATAAATTAAGGACTAACACCCCCTCTGACAGCAGCATCTTTCACATTAACTATTTTGTAAAGAAGCACTTCCTTTTACCAGGCCTGGATCTCCTCAGCTCTCCAGTCCAATAATTTAATCATCTGGAAGATGGGGAAAAAACTTTTCTCTCTCCCCACAGGCTCAGCACCATACATTTCTGTCACATCCCCTCTATTTGCCTTCTTTCTAATCTAAAAAATGCTGTAATCTGTCCTTTGCTCTCTTACTCATTCCTACATGCCAATCAGCTGAGCTCTTCTTCCAGGGAAACTCTGGTCTCCCCATGATGCAAATTCCATATTAAAGTATCTAGATTAGCTTTTCTATCAAACCATTTCCTAAATTATCATACTCCCTGGGTGGGTTAAAGAAGAATACAAAAGCCTAGATGTTGATGGCATTTTCAAGGAACATTTTATCAACTAAGGATAAGAATCCCAGTTATTCCAGATTAATTCATGTTGAGAATGGCACATCAACTCTCAAGCTAATATGGTTTAGATTTATTGATATTTTTAATCTCCCCCCTATCTTAATTAACTCTGGGGAGCGTACAAAGTCTATAAAGAATGTGTTAAAACATATATAAATGATAGAAATCAACAATAAAAAAATAGCATTTCAAAGTGTTATTTGTATGTTAGGCCAAAGGCCTGGTGGAACAGTTGGTCTGTTTTTTAACACCTGTAATGCAAGGGCCATCCATACATTCATGAGAAGAGAATTCCACAAAATGGGGGCCACCACTGGAGAAGGCCTGGCCAGAGTCAAACCAGCAACAAATCTAACTCAAAACTGCGTTGTCTTTAAGACTCTCCTAAATCAAACCAGGGGCTCCTTACATGTATTTATCTGTTCAAGCAACTCAGGGCCGCATACAGCATGCTAAAATCATAAAACGAGAAGAAAACAGTAATACCGCCCCACCAAATGAAAACCAAGGAATAAAACCCCAATGCCAGTGCAGTGCTGCAAAGCCTGGTCTAAGAGCCACGTTTTAAGGGCTTTCCTAAATGAAAACGTGCATGTTTTCCAAGGAGTCACAAATCCCACGCCCCAATTTACTTTCAAGGAGGTCCCACAGAGCCCGGGGTATCAGGCCAGTCTCCCCTGCTAGGCAAATCTCCCCCAAACGCCCCTCTTGGTGAACCTTCCATTCCCCCCTCCCGCCTTTCTGAAGCCCACCCAGCAAAATGAACCCCTACTTGGACATCTCCCCATGGAAATTGTGGGTCCTGCATCTCTGGAGGCTTCCAAGAAGAGGCTGGAGGGCTTCCCCTCAATGGGCTTTCCCTGCCCAGGACCAAGGGCTGGACCAGATGGCCTCTGCGTGCCTCCACCCCACCCTACCCTACCCTACCCTACCCTACCCTGATGCATTGCTGGCTTAGGGCAGCTTTCCCCCCCCGCCCATAATCCACAGTCAGCTGGGAGGAGGTCCAAGCGGGAGGAAGCCAGGTGGGGAAAGGGCATCCTGGCCACGCCCCCTCCTTCCCACCTGCTTTCGAATCTTGGCTCCTGCCTCTCGCCCCCCGCGGCGAGCACGCGCGTGCGCGCTCCCCTGGCCACGCCCCCTCCTTCCCACCTGCTTTCGAATCTTGGCTCCTGCCTCTCGCCCCCCGCGGCGAGCACGCGCGTGCGCGCTCCCCTGGCCACGCCCCCTTACGTGTTGTCCTGGTTGAAGTTGGCGAAGAGCAGTTGGCCGGGGCCGGCCTCGCCGCTCTGGCTGGCTAAGTTCATGGCGGCCTCGTTCCGCGTCCTCCGCCGGGGGAGCGCAAGAAGGACGGGAGGCTCAGCCTCGGAGGCGCCCGGCCCGGCCCATCTTCTCCGGCCGTCTCCTCATCCCTCTCAGCGGCGCCTTGTTTACGCTCGGCTAGCGGCCGAAGCCTCTGCGCGCGTGCGCCATCCCGCCCCTCCTTTCCCAGGAGCCTCTTGGCCCTCGCGCAGGCGCCTTGGAGGAAGATGGCCATCCTAGGAGGGCGGCGGGAGCCGCGGGGGCGCCCCCCGGCGCTGGCGGACGCCGGGCGGGGGGTCGGGGCGGGGCGTCATTTTTCTGTG